CTGCTCGGCGGCTCGGCTGCTCGGCGGCTCGGCTGCTCGGCGGCTCGGCTGCTCGGCTGTTCGGCTGCTCGGCGGCTCGGCAGTGAAGGGGCCAGGGAGGGGCCGAAAGGGGGGGGCGGCGACGGGGCCGCAAGGGGCGGCGACGGGGCCGCTAAGGGCGGCGACGAGGCCGCTAGAGGGTGGCGACGGGGCCGGGAAGGGCGGCGACAGGGGCCGCTAGGGGCGGCGACGGGGCCGCGAAGGGCGGCGACGGGGCCGTGAGGGGCGGCAACGGGGCCGCGAGGGGCGGCGACGGGGCCACGAAGGGGCCGCGAGGGGCCTGGAAGGGCGGCGACGGGGCCGCTAGGGGCGGCGACGGGGCCGCGAAGGGGCCGCGAGGGGCCTGGAGGGGCGGCGACGGGGCCGCTAGGGGCGGCGACGGGGCCGCGAAGGGGCCGCGAGGGGCCTGGGAGGGCGGCAACGGGGCCGCTAGGGGTGGCGACGGGGCCGCGAAGGGGCCTTGAGGGGCCTAGAAGGGCGGCGACGGGGCCGCTAGGGGTGGCGACGGGGCCGCTAAGGGTGGCGCGAGGGGCCTCTAGGAGGGCTCGACAAGAGGGCGGCCCACGGGGCGCGCCTCGGGCAGGGGCGACTCGCGCTCCGGTCAGAAAAAAAGTCGATTTTCAGTGGTGGGCCCTAGGAAGTTCCCACTAGGGAACCTGCTCTATACCATGTGAGAATTGAGGAATGAAATAAACTAGCAAGCAGGTGGGTACAAGTAGGAAAACCTAAAAGTGTTGTACCCCATATTGTCTACCCCACTACAGCCTACACAGACTATAGCATATGAGTTTGACAGCTGAGATCTACGCTGGGGCCATGGTTGCACATGAGTAACGCTGGCTCACCTACCTGCTGACCGACTTGGGAGAGGCGCCTCGTTCTCCTCCAGTTCTGTACGTCGACAACAAGGCCATGCTTGCCTTGTGTCAGGAGCACAGACTGGAGCACAGAACGAAGCACATTGCTCTGCGATACTTCCTTGCTCGAGAGTTGCAGCAGCGTGGTCAGCTTCGTCTTGCGCACGTGGCCACTAGGGCCAACACTGCTAATATATTCACCAAGGCACTTCAGTCTGGTGATCATCAGCGCTTCTCTACTATTTTAGGCCTTGTGCCTACTTTGCCTCACTTGCTCACTACGTGATTTTGTTTGTAGTGTGATCTATATACATATACCTGCATGCTTACTCTTGCTAGGATGTGATCACTGTACTATTTGTTCTCTTTTATACAACTCAGTATATGAACTGGCCATTGTGGCCCTTTGCTTGTGCTCGGAATGTGTGGTGACTTTGTGATCCACCCTGAGCTTGCTTTGCTTTTGTTGACTGGTCTTGTGACCACTTGTTCTCCCCCACTTTGCCTATGGGGGTGTGTCAGAATGTTATATTGCTTACTTGTATAGGCTATAGTGGGGTAGCCCATAAGGGGTACAACCCAATTAGGGTTAGTACTTGTACCCAACTCTTTCATAGTTCATTCATTCTCGTTCGTTATTCTGACAGGGAATGTTGAGTGAGCCGTTTGAAAATAGAGAAACGTGGGTGGAGGGAAATGAGCTCCAACCCCAGGTTTTCGTAGTTGGAGAAGGGCGTTTAGCGCGCTTTGACGATGCCAATTGTGCAATACAAGCAGCTTCGCTTTCACAATACACAACTTAAAAAAAACTCTATGTGTGTTAAAAAATTATAATATTGAGAAAATTTGCTTTCTTATTCTTATCGATTGGCATCGTTCTCATTACAAATGGGGTCTCTGAGACATAGGCAGCGGGTGCCTCCGGTTACGTACAAGTGCCTCTGTGTGTTGTGCCAAAGTCACCGCATGCGTTGGATCTTGTAGGTTGCGGGAGGCTTTGATGAGAGGCTCGACGTATGGCGTCACATACATTTCCTTTGTTGTGTCGCTTCGCCATCTGCCCAGCCGTCTGAAGACTCTGTCTGGCACTCCAGTGTTGGCTGCTACTGTGGCTGCGCCTTTTCGGAAAGAATGACTGCCGAGCTACAACTCGCCAAGGCCAACCTTTGCGAAGGCTTCCTTGAGGGTGTTGCGCTACTTGTGCAGTACGTCGGGCATGGGGCTCGTGCTTGGAGGACGGGGTCCAGTTGTCCTCACTAGTCACGCAGACGCTTCTTGGGTTGACGACTTGGCTACGCAACGGTCGTCACAGGGTTACACCTTCAGCCTTGGTTCTGGCTCTATTTCTTGGCGGTCTACCCGCTCATCCTCGGTTCTCAGTTCCAGTTGTGAGGCTGAGATCTACGCAGGGGCCATGGCTGCACAGGAGTTACGCTGGCTCACCTACCTGCTGACTGACTTGGGAGAGCAGCCTCGTTCGCCTCCAGTTCTGTACGTAGACAACAAGGCCATGATTGCCTTGTGTCAGGAGCACAGACTGGAACACAGAACGAAGCACATCGCTCTGCAATACTTCCTTGCTCGAGAGTTGCAGCAGCGTGGTAAGCTTCGTCTTGCGTACGTGGCCACTAGGGCCAACACTGCTGATATATTCACCAAGGCACTTAAGTCTGGTGATCATTTGTGCTTCTCTACTGTTTTAGGCCTTGTGCCTACTTTGCCTCACTTGCTCGCTGCGTGACTTTGCTTGTACAGTGATCTACATATATATACCTGCATGCTTACTCTTGCTAGGCTGTGATCACTGTACTGTTTGTTCTCTTTATATAACTATGTTTCTGAACTGGCCATTGTGGCCCTTTGCTTGTGCTCGGAATGTGTGGTGACTTTGTGATCCACCCTGAGCTTGCTTTTGTCAGAATAGTGAAGGAAGGAATGACTGAACTAGCAAGCAGGTGTTTACAAGTAGGAAACCTAAAAGTGTTGTACCCTATATGAACTACCCCACTACAGCCTAGACAGACTATAGCATATAAGTTTGACACACCCCCATAGGCAAAGTGGGGGAGAACAAGAGGTCACAAGACCGGTCAAGAAAGGCAAAGCAAGCTCAGGGTGGATCACGACGTCACCACACATTCTGAGCACAAGCAAATGGCCACAAGGCCAGTTCACATGCAGAGTTATATAAAGGAGAACAAACAATACAGTGAACACAACCTAGCAAGTGTAAGCATGCAGGTATATGTATAGAGATCACAGTACAAGCAGAGTCAAGAAGTGAGCAAGTGAGGCCAAGTAGGCACAAGACCTAACATAGTACAAAAACGCTGATGATCACAAGGCTGAAGTGCCTTGGTAAAGATATCAGCAGTGTTGGCCCGAGTGGCCACGTAAGCAAGACGGAGCTGACCACGCTGCTGCAACTGTCGAGCAAGGAAGTAGCGCAGAGCAATGTGCTTCGTTCTGTGCTCCAGTCTGTGCTCCTGACACAAGGCAAGCATGGCCTTGTTGTCGACGTACAGAACTGGAGGAGAACGAGGCGCCTCTCCCAAGTCGGTCAGCAGGTAGGTGAGCCAGCGTAACTCCTGTGCAGCCATGGCCCCAGCGAACATCTCAGCCTCACAACTGGAGCTGAGAACAGAAGACGAGTGGGTAGACCGCCAAGAGACAGAGCCGGAGCCAAGGCTGAAGGTGTAACCCTGTGACGACTGCTGCGTAGCCAAGTCGTCAACCCAGAAAGCGTCTGCGTGACCAGTGAGGACAACTTGAGCCCGTCCTTCAAGCACGAGCCCCATGCCCGACGTACTGCACAAGTAGCGCAACACCCTCTTAGCTCCATCCATGTGCTCCTTCCTGTGTCTGCCAGGAGCGACATAGCGTGCTAGAATGCTAAGAGGGTAGGCAAGGTCAGGTCGAGTGCAGGTCATCAGGTACATGAGGCAGCCCACAAGCTCTGGATACGGGCCACTCGGCTCTACGGACTCGTCCGAAGGTGGAGCTGAGAGCGAGTGACCGGTAGGCAGAGGAGTGGACTGTGGCGAGGATTACGTGAAGCCGAAGCGCTGAAGGACCTGCTGCACCATGTGTGACTGAGTCAAGGTAATGGTGCGCTGTGCTCTGTCCTGGGTGATCCGCAAGCCAAGATAGCTTGTCAGCTCACCCAGGTCTGTGCACGTGTGTCTCTTCTGCAGCTCCGACTTCACGTGGGCGAGTGCCTCAGTGTCAGCAGTAGCAAAGACCAAGTCGTCAACGTACACGAGAACGTAGAACGGCGGCAGAGTGGTGTCAGTGCGTAGAAACAGCGACGGGTCAGCAGTGGAAGGAGCAAACCCAAGAGCAGCAAGAGTCGTCCTCAGTGTGTCATGCCACTCACGAGGTGCCTGGCGGAGATCGTAGACTGGCCGCCGGAGGCTCCACTGGGTACCAGTAGGAAACGACCTAGTGAAGCCAGGTGGGCGGCGCAGCCAGATCTCCTCGTGCAGGCTGCCCTGTAGGAAGGCTGTGCTGAAGTAAAGAGAGTGTAGCTCGTAGTCACGCTGAGCGGCGACGTGCAGCAGCACCCGAAGAGTGGTCATCTTCGGGGTAGGGGAGAAGGTCTGGAAGAAGTCAACTCCCTGTCGCTGACTGAAGCCTCGTGCAACGTAACGCGCCTTGAAGACAGGCGGAGAACCCGGCGGCCGCTTCACCCTGAAGATTCACATGCCACTGACGATGTTCGCCCCAGGCGGGGGAACCTCGTCGACGTAGGTGCATGTGGATTTCCAGGAAGCCATCTCTGTGTCCATGGCTGTCTGCCACTGAGAGGAGTAGGGACCCTCTATCGCCTCTGCGTAAGAGCGCGGGGTCGGGATGTCTGGTGCATCCGGGTCTCCCTCAGGGGCAAGCAGCATGGACACGAGATGAGGTAAAGCAGCGGCAAAGCACTCAAACTCCTCCTGTCTGTCCTCAAGGACGTGCGTGCCAAGAGCACACTCACCCCCGACGGACGGAGGACAGACAGACGCAGACTCAGACTCAGCGACAAGACTAGCGGCGTAGTCTAGACGACAGGCGGCAGCAAAGTCAACAAGCTCAGCAACTAGAGTAGACGCAGCAATGGACTCAAAGGATTGCGGAAGTGGCGAATATGTGCGCGGTACGGGGAGTTTGCAAGAAAGGCGGAACGGGGTAATTGCGCCAAGGGTTGCGGGACCTGTTGGTACACGTGTCAACCAGGCATTGGTCCAGGGTGAAGGCAGCTTGGCGCAGTGTGGGGATGGAAGGGAGGAGGGGCATAGGCGGAGCATGGGCGCGGAGGGGATGGGAAGGGGAAGGGGGGGATCGAGTGTGGATGGGATGGGGAGAGGAAGGGGGGAAGGGATGGGAAGGGGAATGGGGGAAGGGATGGGAAGGGGAATGGGGGAAAGGATGGGAAGGGGAAGCGGAAGGGGAAGGGGAGTTTTGGAGAGGACAGTGGGGGGAGGTAGCTAGAAGGAGCGGCAGTTGGGGCGAGAGGGCATGGGATGGGGGGAGCTGGGGGGTGGGGGGCAAGAGGCGGTCGGGGAGGGGGAGGGCATGGCATGGCGCAGAGGGAGCATGGGGGATGCGGATTGGCGGATTGGTGGGGGAGGGGATGCTGCCGGTGTGCACCGCAGGGCGGCTACAGTAGCTGGCCTGGGCGGCATCCAAGACGTGGGCGGCATGGGCGGCATGAGTGGTATGGTGCGAGACAATGGGGGTGAAATGGATGCAACTGTGGGCGTGGGAATCGTGTAGGGGACAGCAACGACAGTGGGGAGGGGGAGGGCCCTTTTATATAGGGCCATGGGAGGAGGTAGCTGGAAGGAGCACGCGGTGGGGCGAAACGGAATGAGTGGTGGCGTGGGCAACATGGGCGGTATGGGCGGCAGTCAGAGGGAAAGGCCAACTGGTGGGCAGGTGGGGGAGTGGTTGGAGCAGGCACACGTTCCTGTAACGCATAAGACTGTAACGAGGATGGGCCAATCAAACCACTCCGGGCGGCAACAGGAGACGCCCCTCTTCGAGCCCCACGGCAGGCCTCTGCTCGCCTCTCACCAGCGCTGCTCGCTTCAAAGGCGTGACCCAGCGGTGGTGCTAGCTCAGCGTGCCAGTCTTCCAGGTCAGCAGAGTGCTATGCCAGGTCAGCAGAGCACAGCTGTGGCTCGTGATCTGCAGCACCGAGCATCGTGCGCTCCTCTCGGCCTTGAGGGTGTGCCCATCTCCCAACCCAACGACCAGCACTTGCAGCAGCAACACACTCAGCGGCATTCCCAGCAGCAACCCCAGCAGCACTATCAGCAGCTCAGCCAGCCAAGAGGCCCGTCCTTTCAACCCCTCAATGCTGCTGCTGCTGTGCCAGCACGCACTGGTTGCGCCCGCGGCACCGCCTCAGCGTCAAGCGCTGAGCATCGCTTGCAAGTCACTGATGGGCGCGGAGGGAGCAAGTCCGCCTCTCTCCCCCTCAATGCTGCTGCCACTGCCGCATCTACTGGGGGGGCGGCAATCATCTGCACTGCTCCTGCTCCTGCTCGTGGGGGCAGCAGCCAGTGCGCCTCTCTGCACCGCCGCATGCTCACCTTCCCCCTCCCCGCCCCCTCTCCCCACACCCGCATCTCTCCTCCTCGTCCTTCTCCTGCGCCTCCTCCTCCTGCTGCTGCTGGTGGTGTGGCTTCTGCTGCTGGTGGTCCCACTGCGGTGTCCCTTCCTACTCGTACGGCTGCTGCTGCTACCTGCTACCTGTTGTCAGGATGGGTACGACGGCAGGGTGTTTTCTAGGCCCATCAGCTACAGTTACGACTGTTAATGCTTGTATGCGCTGTTATAGTGTAACTTGCATTGCCAAAAAAGAAAAAAAAATCGCTATCAGTGTAAACCGAAACTTAGCCTGTTTGCTCTAGGGTAAAAAGTTAGATACCCTGTTTTGAAAAGGGTAACTGGGAAAAAGCGGCCGCCCATCAGGGCAAACAGGATATTTTACCCTGATAATTTGGGCCCTGCGGATGAGTGCAAATTGGGGACAAAACCTTGGCAGCATTGCGATTCAGGGGTTTGGTGTTGCTGAACGGTGGCTGGTGTCTTTGTTCCATTATTTCTTTGATTAGTACAGGATTGTAGATATATGTACCTTAAATGCTATTCCACAAAGCAATCCTACACTACAATGTTATGTGAACTGTAAGGAGATTTCTAATCCCTTACGGAGTCACTCTGTACGTAACTTTCGGAAGATCAGGCTGGTCGTCGACTTGTCGCCTTCAGACTCCACAACCCAAGACCAGCACCCAACCTTATCTCTCCAAGGTTCCCGCCTTGTGTGGCTGGCAGGCAATCTCACTTGTCCGGCATGATCAGGTCAGGTAAAGCAGAGGCATTGCCCCCTTTGCTTTGGCCTCTTTGGCATGATCAGGTTAGGTGCGTCATTGGCCGAGTGGGATGTTGCCAATCTGGCGGGTTCCATCAATTGGCTGGATTCACGTGGGATGGTTCTACTGAACTGTATAGCGCGTATGCTAGATGTCCGTCGAAACTCGAGAGCTTGACATGACATATGTTTGGAACAGGAAACGTTTCTAAGGGGGTGTCCAGCTCGTTCATTTACTGTTCGTAAAGCCCTTCAGTTACCACAATTTGCGTTGTAACACTGAGTTTTACAAAAATGCCAGACACGATCAGCTCCCGCTCACGATACGGCACACCCCCTGCACGTACCTCGAATCGTGTGACGCACGTTACAGGAATCAGCGTGCGCATCGAACAATGGTACAGAACCGCGTCCTGCCCACTACAGTGAGTGCCCATCGTATCGTGCGCTTGATTTCGCATGTGCCGCCTGACCCTCGCCAAAACCTATAGTGGAAGTGTTGGCCTGGCGAAAATTCTAACGCTTTGGTTGACGAGGGAACTGGTTACCTTGGTTGCCACACGGCCCCTGCACTGTTGAAGTCTGTGTGGGGGGATGGTGTCCGCGCGCCAGAATGACAGAAAGGGTGGACTCGAGCAAGGCTCGTTCGTTTATAGGTACAGTGTTCAGTTTTGAACCCCGGATCGTGAGGAGGTACTAGATTTCCCGAAATGAACGAGCTGGACACGCCCTAAGCCCAGGAAACGTTCGAAACAGTGAGGCCGAAAGTTTTGTGGAATGCCTGGCCGTACTTTTTGGAATGCCCTGGCCGTCTACCTACCTAATCGCGAAACAGATACAGTCACTCATGGCGCGGTTCTTGCGGGGGGAAGCTGGGACGGGGGAACTGGGGGGAGTTGCGGGTAACTACCGTAGATTAGGGCGGGGCAGCGGCGGACAGCCGGCTCCTCCTGTCCAGTCACCACCGCGCGCCTTTTCCCTTCAAGGATTCGTTGTCATTCGCGACAAGTTGTCAGCCAAGAATGTGCGTCCACGTGCCATTCTCGCCAGGCCACCCATTTTCTCTCTTTTGTGGCTGCAGAAGTCACTCGTTTGTGCGACCAACTTCGATTAGACGATCGCCGCTCGTCTGTTTGAGAGTTTGGTTGTTGTGTGTGGCTGGTTGGCGATGTCACTGGGACCGATTTAGGTCAGGTGCAGCCGTCGTCCGTGCGGGATGTGGCCAATCTGGCAGGCTCCATCAATTGGCTGAGTTCGCTTCACGCATAGTGGTGGTACTGTACAGTGCGTACAGTATATACCACACTGAGACGGCTCCCGGAGCCGTTCAGGTGAACAGATACCCGTGACTCCTGAAGGCACTGTTTGGTACGGATTCACAACGTTTGAAGCTGGCGGTGGTAGTACGGCCACATACTAATGAGACGGCTGCTCGAGCCGCCGTTCACCCGTGATGGTGGTATCTGTCCCATATTAGTCACTTGAAGGCTCTGTTTGGGACCGGTTCACAACATTAAAGTTGACGATGGTATCTACCACATACTAATGAGACGGCTGCTCCCCGAGCCGCCTCGGGCTGGGTTCCTGTACAGCACGCACGGCGGAAAATTTCCCCCCATCAGCGGAGTCCTCCCGCTGCGGACCCCTCCAAGGCTGGGTTAAGTTAGGTTTTGCTGGCGGCGGCCTTTGGCCTCCGGCGCGAGAGAGATGCGCATCATGTTTCCTCGTTTTGGTGTAACCTTTCCGCGGCCTCGCAAGTATTCAGCTTCCGCGGAAGTTCCGCGTCCTCATTCCTCGTAGTACTAAAAGCCACGAAGCCCATAGCTTTGCTCACACTTCCCGTCAGTAACCCATCATCGACCCATGCCTTGGCCTTCTATGCTCCACGATCGCCGCCGCGCTCTCTCTCGCTCGCCGCGCTCTCAAGAGCGATTTCTGAGGAACATGGTCATCATTATGCCAACTTCCGGCTGCGGCCGCCGCATTGGGCTTGTCTCGCTGCTGGCGACTCTGATGATCGTAGCAGGTGAGAACTTTGATTAAAGGAGTTAATAGTAATCGTAATCAGCGTCGTTGCAGGTGAATTGCCGTTCCAAGTCATAGCAGCGCAACCAATGATCGCTGCTGCTGCTGACTGTCGCCGACGATGGTCGGTGCTGATGATGATGCGGTCGTGGTGATAGTCGCCCACCCATGATCGTGATCGTCGCCCGGCGATGGTGATCATCGCAAGTGATGAGCCACGCACATGGTTCTCGTGATAGTTGCTGCCGTCAACTGAGAATAACCGTCGCTATCGTCGCTGGTGAGGGTCATCGCTGGTGAGGGTCGTCGCTGGTGACAATCGCCGCAATGCCTCCTCTTCTGCCGCCTGTCTTTCCTTCCTCCGCCCCAACCGAGTTGCATTCACCAGACAGAGGCTGATCGTCTGATTGCCACTACTATGCCTTTCTTCCGGTTGTCAAGATCATTCCTTCCTTCACCAGGCAGAGGCTGATCTTCTGATCTCTATCTCCGACTCCCCTCTCCTCCCTCTACCCTCTCTCTCCTCTCCTCTCCTCCCCTCCCCTGTCCCTCCAGCCTCCATGCCTCACGCCAAGGCTCTTGTCCTGCCACCAGCTTGTCCTCAGGGGAAAGTGTGGAACGCCGACGTGCAAGTCTGTGTCTGTGAGTTGATGCACTCTGCTGCCGCCACTCCTGCTGCTGCCGCTGCTGCTGCCGCCATTGCCGCTGTTGCTGTCGGCACCATTGCTGCTATTGCTGCTGCCGTCTCAATCTATCCTGCAAGATCTCTCTCCCTGCTGTAGATCCTTCAGAGAGCAACAACCCTAGCCAGGCCTGCTCTAGCACCACCTTGTTCTCTTGCCTCTCTCTCACCCGCCCAATCCTCTGCGCCCGTCTACCCCCTGCGCTGTGCTCCTCTGTGCCGTGCCTCCACCAGCCACGTGCCGCATTGCCAAGGGATGCCCGTCCAATTACTGCGACAACGGACTCTGCTTGTGCCGGCCTGGTCTAGTCATGCTCCCCGATGGAAGATGTGCCAGTGAGTGACTATGTTGATGGCTGGTGTGATCTGAGTGACTATTTTGAGGGTGCTTTCTCATGATACATGCCCCGTGCCCGTGTCCCGTGATACTATATTCCATGCCCTATGCCCCATGCTTCGTGCCTCATGGCCCTTGCCCCATGCCCCATGCACCATGCACCATGCCCCGTGCCCCATGCATGCACCATGCCCCGTGCCCCATGCAGCATTAACACGCTAGGTATCCCGCTTTACTAACAAGCTCCTGCCCCGCTTGTTCAAACTGCCTCCATCTCTCTTCCCAGATTCCTGTGATGGTGTGGAGTGTGGTCCCGACTCTTTTTGCAACTCCGACGTTGAATGCATTTGCAACCCCGGCTATAACACGCTACCTGATGGCACTTGCACTGGTGCGTGTTCCCCCTCTCCCTCTCTCTCCCTCGCCTCTACCCCCTTCCCCCTGGAGGGGGAGAATGCTCACGTTGGGACTTGACGTGTCACTCACTCACTCTCGCACTCTGTCTGTCCCACACTCTGGCACTAGATTTCTGCTCAAATTCTCTCCTTTTCTCTTCCCCCGCTCTCCCCCTCCCCCGTCCCAACCCCCCTCTCTCTCTCACTCTCTTTCTCTCTCCTCCCCTCCACACTCTCACTCCCTCTGACCTGACCATGTACCAGAATCGTGCAGCATCAAGACGTGTGGCGCTGGGGAAGAGTGTCTGGATTTCAGCGGCGACAACGGCGAGTCGGTCTGCAGATGCCTCGATGGATACGTTGGGGAGCCTGGATCTTGTCTTGGTACGTAGTGTGCATATTGATGCCCCTCGCCCCCTCTCCCGCACTCTCTCTCACGATTTCTTGCCCAACATGCGCCCTGGTAGGGAACTCGCCTCTTCCGCCTCTTCCACCTTCTTTTCCCCCCGCTCTCCCTCTCCCCCGTCCCAACCCCCCTCTCTCTCTCTCTCCTCCCCTCCACACTCTCACTCCCCCTGACCAATGACCATGTACCAGAATCGTGCAGCATCAAGACGTGTGGCGCCGGGGAGGAGTGTCTGGAATTTGGTGGCGTCAACGGCGAGTCAGTCTGCAGATGCCTCGATGGATACAGTGGGGAGCCCGGA